TGATAGGGACTGAATTGAATCTGCAGATTGTTTTGATTAGGATTGACATTTTAATAGTAATAAGTGTCCCACTTCATGCACATGGGATATGTTTCCATTTATTTATGTCTTGTTTAATTTCTTTCAGCAATATATTGTAGTTTTCATTGTATAAGTCTTCACCTCCCTGATGTATTCTTAAGTATTTCATTCTTTTAGTGTTATAGTAAGTGAAATTGTTTTTGTAAATTTTTTCAGTATTCATTTTTCATGTATACAGCTTTTTGTGTGTGTGTGTGTGTGTTGACTTTGTGATCTGCTGCTGAATTCATTTATTCTAACACATTTTATTTTACTTAAAATTTTTATGTATTTATTTGGCTGCACAGGTCTTAGTTATGGCATGTGGGATCTTTAGTTGTGGCAATGTTGTAGCCATGCATTCTGGGAAACAAACTCACTCAGAAAGACAATGCAGATAGTGGAATGCAGTTTATTATACCGGTGAGCCCAAGGCAGAGTCTCCTCTTAGCCAAGGACCCTGACCAATTTTTGTGAAACCCTTATATACCCTAAGTGTACGTGCTCAAACCCACCTCCCCAAATTCTCTGAAACTAGTCTGAACAAAGGAAAAGAAAGATACAATCAAAGTTAATCCGTGATTCATATGTCTTAAACCCGTGATTCATATGCCTTAAGCCAAGCAGGACTCCATCTTGGGCCAGACTGTGGACTTTGAACTATATGCCCAGTATCTATGGAAATGACATACCAACTGGAAAACCAGACACCCCCCCCCCCCCCGGGATGGAAGAGCCCCAGGGCTCATACCTAGATTCTCCATAGCCTAAAAGAATACCCTAATTATCTGTGTAACTGAACAGAATGATACATTCTATTATGCTTATTGGGGTATGACCACAGGCCTTTCAAGATGGAGCCTGATCTGTATGTTTCTTCCTTCAGCAAGTGGGACTTTTTAGTTGCAACATGTGGGAAGATGACACAGGAGAAGGACGTGCGCCCCTCTTCTCCTGCAAAAACTCAGAATTACAACTCGCTGCTGAACACCCATCGACAGGAGAATGTTGGAGTCCACCAAAAAAAGATATTTCTCATTCAAGGGCAAAGGAGAAGCCCCAATAAGATGGTAGGAGGAGTGAAATCACATTTAGAATCAAACCCCATACTCCCCAGAGACACTTGGAGGTCTCAAACAAAATACCTTGGGTGCACCAGGACCCAGAGACCCCACAGAGGCTAAGCCAGACCTGCCTCTGAGTGTCTCCTGTGGAGGCATGGGTCAGCACTGGCCTGTTGCGGGGACAGGGGCTCTGGCTGCAGCAGACCTGGGAGGCACTGCATGTGACATGAATCCTTTAGGAGGAGGTGGCCATTAGCTGCACCATAGAGCCACTGAGCAGATGACCCACAAACTGGAGAACAATTATATGAAAGAAGTTCTTGCACTGTTGCAAAAGTTCCAGGACCCACAACAGATTCCCCAACCTATGGATCAGGCAAAGGGACTGAGTACCCCCAAGGAATTTGACTTTGGAGGCCAGTGGGATTTGATTACAGAGCTTCCACAGGACTGGGGAAACAGACTCTTGGAGGGCACAAACAAAACCTTGTGCACACCAGGACCCAGGAGAAAGGAGCAGTGACCCACAAGAGACTGAGCCAGACTTGCCTGTGAGCATCCAGGAGTCTCTGGCAGAGGTGTGGGTCAACAGTGGCCTGCCATGGAGTCAGGGGCAGTACTGAATACAACAGTACTGGCATAAGTCCTTTTGACCTCAGGCCAAACAACAGGAAAGGAACACAGCTCCGCCCATCAACAGAAAATTGGATTAAAGGTTTATTGACCATGGTCCCGCCTATCACAACAAGACCTAGATTCCCCCACAGCCAGTCCCTTCCATCAGGAAGCTTCCACAAGCCTCTTATCCTTATCCATCAGAGGGCAGACAGAATGAAAACCACAATCACAGAAAACAAGCCAGACTCATCACATGGATCACAGCCTTGTCTAACTCAATGAAACTATGAACCATGCCCTGTAGGGTTACCCAAGACAGATGGGTCGTGATAGAGAGTTCTGACAAAATGTGGTCCTCTGGAGAAGGGAATGACAAACCACTTTAGCATTCTTGCCTTCAGAACCCCATGAACAGTATGAAAAGGCAAAAAGATGACACTGAAAAATGATCTCCCCAGGTCGGTAGGTGCCCAGTATGTTACTGGAAAAGAGTGGAGAAATAGCTCAAGAAGAAATGAAGAGGCCATGCCAAGGTAGAAACAATGCCCAGTTGTGGATGTGTCTGGTGGTGAAAGTAAAGTCTGATGCTGTAAAGAACAATGTTGCATAGGAACCTGGAATGTTAGGTCCATGAATCAAGGTAAATTGGAAGTGGTCAAACAGGAGATAAGAGTAAACATCAACATTTTAGAAATCAGTGAAGTAAAATGGACCAGAAAGGGTGAATTTAATTCAGATGACCATTATATCTACTACTGTGGGCAAGAATCCCTTAGAAGATATGGAGTAGCCCTCATAGTCAATAAGAGAGTCCAAAATGCAGTATGTTGGTGCAGTCTCAAAAATGACAGAATGATCTTTGTTCATTTCCAAGACAAACCATTCAATATCACAGTAATCCAAGTCTATGCGCCAACCACTAATGCTGAAGAAGCTGAAGTTGAATGGTTCTCTGATGACCTACAAGACCTTCTAGAACTCACACCAAAAAAAAGATGTCTTTTTCATCATAGGGGACTGGAATACAAAAGCAGGAAGTCAAGAGATACCTGGAGTAACAGGCAAGTTTGGCCTTGGAGTACAAAATGAAGCAGGGCAGAGACTAACAGAGTTTTGCCAAGAGGGTGTACTGGTCATAGCAAACACCCTCTTCCAACAACACAAGAGATGACCCTACACATGGACAATACTTTGGCCACCTGATGTGAAGAACTGACTGGAAAAGATCCTGATGCTGGGAAAGATTGAAGGCAGGAGGAGAAGGGGATGACAGAGGATGAGATGGCTGGATGACATCACTGGCTCGATAGACATGAGTTTGAGTAAGCTCCGGGAGTTGGTGAGGGACAGGAAAGCTTGGTGTGCTGCAGTCCATATGGTCACAGAGTCAGACACGACTGAACGAGTGAACTGATGTAGGATCTAGCTCCCTGAACAGGAGTCGAATCTGGGCCCCCTGCATCAGGAATGTGGAGTCTTAGCCACTGGACCACCAGGGAAGTCCTCTATTCTAACACATTTTAAAACACATGTTTTTTTTGTGTGTGTTGTAGTCTTTAGGGTTTTCCACAAACAAGATCATCTCATCTGCAAACAAATAATTTTACTTCATCTTTCTAATTTAGATACCTTTTATTTCTTTCTCCTGACTAATTGCTCTGGTTAGAATTTTCAGTACTATGTTGAATAGAGGTGGTGAAAGTCAGCATCCTTGCTTTGTTCCTGATCTCAGAAGAGAAGCTTTCATTCTTTTATTCTTGAGTCTGATGCTTGATGGAGGTTTTTTAGTATATGACTCTTAATTGTGTTGAGTAGTTTCCTTCTGTTCCTATTTGTTGAGTGCTTGCATCATGAAAGGGTGTTAAATTTTATCAGATGCTTATTTCTTAATCAGATGCTTTTTCTGCATCAATTGAGAGGATCATGTGTTTTTATTTCCTTCAGTTGATACGGTGTATTACATTGCTTACCTTCATATGTTGAACCAATCTTGCATCCCAGGAATAAACCCCACATGGTTGGGATGTATTATCCTTTTACTATACTGCTAAATTCGGTTTGTTAGGGTTTTTTTGTTGTGGATTTTTGTTTCACTGTTCAAAAGGGATATTGGTCTGTAGTTTTCTTACAGTGTTTTTTCTTGCTCGTCTCATGGAATGAGCTAGAAAGTGTTCTCTCCTAAAACACGGGAGTTGCAGCTGGCAGCTGCCCTGGGGTAGGCTGTGTGCTGTGTGGCCAGCATGCCTGTTTGGGTGAGGCTTGCTTGTTTGGGACAAGCTTCAGGTGAGGCTTGTCCTCTAGACAGCCCACCTTATCGCAAGGCCAGTCATTTAATTTTTTTTTCTTTTCTTTTTTTTTTTTCAGTCATTTAATTTTTGTTTCTTTTTTTATTGTCGGTCTGTCTGTCTGGGCTGTGAGCTCCATGAGGTCAGAACCTGTGTCTCACCGGTCCATTGCCCTACAACCCTGGCCCACCCAGCTCCTGGTGCAAATGGCAGCCCATGTGCCATAGATGAATGGGTAGGGCAGAGCCATCCCGGATCTGAGCTGAGAGGCTCTGCACATGACATGTGGATGGAAAGTAGAGAGCTTGGTCTTTTTGCTGAACGCCCTTCAAGGTGGCTGCCTTGAAGCTGTGCAGTTCCTGTCTGAAATCCTCTCTGGAAGTGCTTTTTTTCAGTCACTTTATGAGTCAGCAGGATGTTAGCGTTTACAGAGTGTTTCCCATGTGGTTTCTCATTGGAATAGTCAGCCCCATTTTGTAAGTTAGTACAGCTTAGTTGCAGAGAGTAAATCTGCTCGCGTGTCAAGGACACAACAGGTGAACTTGAACTCCCCTCCCCAGTGCCAGCTTGGTACTTTTTCTGCTTTACCTCTGCCGTGAGCGCCTTGTGTGGTTTCTATTGGGGTGATGGTGCAGGTCTGGTGTGTGTTCTAGGAAGAGGGCAAGGTCATGTGGGTATCTTCTAGTAATACTAAATTCATTTTATAAAGCACATTAGAAACCAAAATTGTTTTTAGTGACGCCGTGTCTAGGCAGCTATCGTTAAGTGTTGTTTTTAAAAACCGAAGGAAGACTTTGGCCCGTAATAAACAGCCTCCAGCGTCCTGTCCTTGTGTCGGCAGTCCATCCTGCAGGGTCTGGAGCTGTGTTTGGCACCCCTCTTCCCACCTTCCCTGACGGGCTGTGGGCAGTCGGCGCTCAGCGTCACAGGAGAGCAGTGCCCACTTCAGCGTGGTTGCTTTTTCCAGGACGGGACACCCCGGAGCTGGTCTGAAATACTCCCAGGCCTTCCTCTTGGTTCTGTCTTCACTAATGCTGGCCTGCACTCCTTTAAACTGGGGGCCCTAAGGCTGGAATCTCAAAATACACCCCACAGGCCACTCGTCCGTGGCTCATTCCAGCATTCCAGGGAGGGCCTGCTGACCTGAAGGTATCCTCTGGCCTCCGGTCTGAGTCACTCTGCTTCAGGTCAAAAGACCAGAGAAGATTCGGTGTCAGGACCTGCCACTGGTGAAGTGCCTGCCGCCTGAGGTAGGTGCTATCTTGTCTTTCCTGTCGAAGATGGCCTTAGCTGCTGCTTCTCGTACGCTTAGGACCACAAAAGAGTGGCTTCACTCTGTTCTTACTTTCTGAAATTAGATATGTATTTTCAGATATGGGTCACAAGCATGACCTGTAGCTTAGGTCACCTTTAGCAGAACAGCTGTGTGGAATTAAATGTGGGCTGTGGGAACGGGAGCCTGACTCCTGTTGCTGCCAGGCCCCTCCTTGCTGTGTGGCCTCAGTGTCCTGCCGCCCGGTTGGAACCCCTCTCTACCCTTTTGCCCCATTTTCCTGTTCTTAACATGACAAATTATTTCATGACTGACCCTTACAGACCTGAACTCATCATTATCTTTGACTTTGGAGGGTTCTCAGATCCCTGCCTTTGATTTTCAGATGAGGCTATTAATGGTTTAATTTCTGTGGGTGGTTTTTGAGTGGATTCTGACAACCTGTTTTATTGAAGTTTCAGTTTATTTTATTTGTGTAATTGTTTGAGAGAAGAAAGGGATCTTAGGAGCAGATTCCATCTGTGAAATGCAGTGTAGGATTTTGACTAAAAAGGATGGAAAATGGAACAGATGGCATAGGAGGTGACAAGCCTCCTTCAAGTTGATTCCTTGGAGTTCCAGATTGAGGTTCTGAAAGCCTGTCTAAAGGGTCTCACTAGAAGGCAGGAGAGCAGTGCACACCCACAGCCTTCCTGCTGCCTGTGAAGGGGTTTTTTCACCTTCATATGCTTGACTTGGGCTTGAAAACACCAGCCGATCCTGGGCTTCTGACTTGTCCTGGAGAGAGTGGGTGTGGCTCTCCATTGCTTCCAGTCCAGGGGACACCTGGCTGGTGTGTGCCCTGCCTCCCCTCTCTCCATGTGCTTCCCATCCTGTCTGACTGCACCTTGTGCTATAAGCTCATCTCCAAATGCTGGGACTCGTGGGCAAGATTTTTTTCTCCACTCCCCCACCCCCTTTTTTTTTAACCCCCAGTCTGGTATTCCATTTATATCTACAACTAGCAGTTAAGCATTTTGATTTAAAATGCAAAACATATAAGCATGTTATGTGCCATGTTAACCCCCACCTCCCGCCCCGCCACCAATACACACCCTTTGGTTTATATAGGGGATTTCTTTCCTGATCAGGAAATATGGCCAGCCGAGCCTCAGTTCTTTTCTGCCCTTTTGCTCAGAGAAGGCCCAGACACCATACCAAGGCCGTGAGGCTGAGTTACTTCTCCGTCTCGCTCTCTTGGCCGTCCATACCGGTGGGAGTGAGATAGAAAGGAGTTGTCACAGCTGCCTCTGAGAGTCTGGGAGACCCAGGGGCCCATTCATGTGGCCCTGTGGACTGCAGAGCAGAATGAAAGTTGAGAGATTTTTAAGAATTTGAGAAACTCCCAGAAAGCGGTGAGATTGTCAATGTTTGTAGCTTCACCTATTCAGGGAAGTGACGCCGAAATTGAACCTGACTCTAAAATAAGTGGCTTGCTCTGGGGTGTCCCTTTTCCCACCATCGTCCTGAGCTTCTGGACAGAGTTGGTGCTGGTTTCTAGTTTACTTTACGTTCTGATTTCGAGAACTTGCCAGACTGAAGGCAGGTGCGCTCTCCTTACAGAAAGTGGGCTGAGAATGGACCCCCTTAACCTGGTGCTGTATTTGCCTCGGGCAGAGTGGTCCCCAGGGCCAGAAGACCCAGGCTGGCGTGCGATGTTGTGTCAGGTGCTCAAGGAACACAAGATGTGTCCAAGACAGTGTGTGGTTTCTCTTCTCTTTATGTCAGAGATGCTGACGTGTTCTTTGAACAGGTGCATGGAGCTGTGTTTGTGTCAGTGGTGTGCTTTGCTGGGTGAGTTTATCTTCATCCTGCTCCTCCCTGGCTGTGAGAAAGGGGTAGACGGGACATTGCAGTCCTTGTCTGCTTTCTCCTTGCTGTGTCAGCCTCCGTGACTGCTCCGGCAGCCACATTTTCTTTTTTTGTTTCTAAACTTTGATTTGGTGTTGTGTTAACTTCTGCTGTACAACAAAGTGACTCAGTTATATATATACTTCTTCATATTCTTTTCCATCATGGTTTATCACAGGATATTGAACATAGTTTCCTGTGCCATACAAGTAGGACCTTGTTGCTAATTCATTCTATATATAGTAGTTTGCATCTGCTATTTCCAAACTCCCAACCTCCCCTCCTCCACCCTTTCTCCCCCTCGGCAACCACAAGTCTCTTCTTTATGTCTGAGTCATTTCTGTTTTATCGATGTGTTTGTTTGTGTCATGTTTTAGATTCTACATAAGTGATATCATATGGTATTTGTCTTTCTCTTTCTGACTTACTTCACTTAGTATGATAATCTCTAAGTCCATCCATGTTGTTGCAAATAGCATTATTTCATTCTTTATGTGGCTGAATAATATTCCATTGCGTGTGTGTTTGTGTGTGTATGTATGTTGGGGTCCTTTAATGGATCGGAACCTGGTGGTCTGGAGTCGACAATGAGAAAGTGAAAGAAGGAAAGAGGCTAATATTCCCTGGGTTACACAGCAGGCCTCCACGCTCCAGGGAATCAGCCAGAAAGAGAGAGAGAGAGAGAGAGAAGGACATGGGGACCCAAGTCTCTGGTGGAACAAGGGTGCTTTATTGAATTCTGTGTGAGTATATATACCGTAATACAAAGTAACTTCTTCAGATAAAGATCAAGAGACCAGACTTTACAAGTTACCAAGGAAGCAAGGAGGAATAGAGGCCATAAGGCCAAAAGGCAATCCATATCAAAAGAGGGTCATAAATAATCCCTTTCACCAAATGGAAAAGCTAATGAAGGAAATCTATGCAAACATCCCATCTCTCTGATCTCAGTCCTGGGAGCAGCTTGCCAGCTCCTCTTGCCCCTGACAGGGACTGATAAGGAACAGAGGGCTCAAGAGAGATAGGAAATGGCACACAGGAATCCTACTGTTAAACATTCCCTGATAATCCCCCTATTTTATTATATGTGTAAAAAAGTTCCTGACCATTTGAGTTTGTTTAGTTTTAACAATTTTTGCAGAAAGGCAATGGTAAACAACAAATATAATTGCCAAGACAATCGCCAGAGTTACAGTTCCAGACCGAATGCTATGGGTGATGCTTTGAAACCATCCTCATGGGTCTAGCCCAGATAATTGATCAACTAGTTGTTCAGCTAAAATTTCCAGATTAGTGGATGAGGCAGACTTTTAGAGAAGGTATCAAAGATTTCTTTTTGCAATAATTGTACATTCAGAGAGGCATTATCATGTATATTTTGTAAATGAAATTTGATTTGCTCCCAGTTATAGGCACTATGATTGAATTGAACAGGAGTAACAGACTGGTTCCAAATATGAAAAGGAGTACATCAAGGCTGTATATTGTCACCCTGCTTGTTTAACTTTTATGCAGAGTACATCATGAGAAACACTGAGCTGGAAGAAGCACAAACTGGAATCAAGATTGCTGGGAGAAATATCAATAACCTCAGATATGCAGATGACACCTCAGATATGGCAGAAAGTGAAGAGGAACTAAAGAGCCTCTTGATGAAAGTGAAAGAGGAGAGTGAAAAAGTTGGCTTAAAGCTCAACATTCAGAAAATTAAGTCATGGCATCTGGTCCCATCATCTCATGGGAAATAGATGGGGAGACATTGGAAACAGTGTCAGACTTTATTTTTTTGGGCTCCAAAATCACTGCAGATGGTGACTGCAGCCATGAAATTAAAAGACGCTTACTCCTTGGAAGGAAAGTTATGACCAACCTAGACAGCATATTAAAAAGCAGAGACATTACTTTGCCAACAAAGGTCCGTCTAGTCAAGGCTATGGTTTTTCCAGTGGTCATGTATGGATGTGAGAGTTGGACTGTGAAGAAAGCTGAGCGCTGAAGAATTGATGCTTTTGAATTGTGGTGTTGGAGAAGACTCTTGAGAGTCTTTTGGACAGCAAGGAGATCCAACCAGTCCATCCTAAAGATCAGTTCTGGGTGTTCATTGGAAGGGCTGATGCTGAAGCTGAAACTCCAATACTTTGGCCACCTCATGCAAAGAGTTGACTCATTGGAAAAGACCCTGTTGCTGGGAGGGATTGGGGGCAGGAGGAGAAAGAGACAACAGAGGATGAGATGGCTGGATGGTATCACCAACTCTATGGACATGAGTTTGAGTAAACTCCAGGAGTTGGTGATGGACAGGGAGGCCTGGCGTGCTGCGATTCATGGGGTTGCAAAGAGTCAGACGTGACTAAGCGACTGAACTGAACTGACTGAACACAAAATTGAGTAGAATTCCAATCACATTTTAGTATCACTTGTTTTTGTACATCTATTAATTGATCTCCAACCCATTTGATGGCTGTTTTTAGTTCTTGTATTTCATCTTGAATATCCTCATCTATCTGAGCCTGAGTGACCCACATAGTATAAGCATCTTTAGTCCAATTTTGGGTAAAATTATGTGTTTGAATTGAGGTTTGTAAAGCAATGCCAGCGATGGCAGCAGTGGTGCAAATAGCTATTAATCCCCTAATGCCAAGAATCAGCCTTCCAATGAATCATTTAGATTGTTGGAGTAATTTAGTAAGTAACCGGGAAGCAAGCCCGGCCATGGGACCTTCTTCCCAGGGCCATTGGAGATTTACTAGTAACCACAAATTACGTGAAGATCGAAGAATCAAAAGGGATTTATTTCTTAAGGAAATAGAAGAGTTGAGACAGGTATACAATTTGCAATTTATACAAGTTATAGAACGTAAAGTTTTATTAAATTGTAAGTTTCCTATAGCTAAAACAAAAGGAAGGGTAATACGAGCTTGTCTGAAATACGATTGATTATAGCGAAAGAATACGACTGATCCCCGTGAACTGTCCGGTCCAAGTTCCAAGTTCTTCAGTGCTCGCAGCAAGTTGCCATATGTCCCATTGTTCAGGCCCAGTTTGTTTATCGGAGGACAATCCAAGGACAAGGGGGTGCCATTCCAC